TTTCCCCGAACAATATTAAAATAGGCAGTGCAAAATCCGTCATTGCTTTCTGAACGTTTTGTTTTCACATTCGGTAACAAACATAGTGAAATGCACACGATGCCTATTCTTCTCATCTGTAGGTTCATTAACCTCCGAGTAACTCGATCAGGCACCGATAAACTCCATTCGTTCTCATCGTACACCCTAGCTACTCAGTGAACTTTGCTCGCTCAATCATCGGATATGCAGAACATCGCATCGCACCTTTTCTATGGCGCCTTTTTTTTTCCACTAACGGTATGGAAGCAAATTAACGCGGTTAGGAAAATCATAAAATTCCGGCAGTTCGTGCTGTAACGAGAACCTTAGTAATTTCTAGATTATAGTAAGCATTACAGTCACCAAAAATTTTTTTGAGCTTTTCTGTCTGAGATTTCACATATTTTCATCCTTTGCAATAACTCTTTGCAACCATGTTCTCAATCGATTACTGCACTTTTCTATTCATTCCCTTTTTGACAAAACCCGTCTTCACATCGATTGTGTGGATCCCAACAGTTCTTGCATCCGATTCGCTTCCTCCCATCCACTATCCACGAAGTTCTTCAAGCTTTTGACGTGTAGATTTGGCTGCTGGTTGAGCATTTTCTTTTCCTCATGAATGTCGGTGAATGCTGGTCGAGTCGATTGTTTTCCAGTCCTGGATTCCAGACAGTTGGTCCGCAGCGGAGTTGAGCCGTGAGCGTGGTCATGATGAACGGCAATTACTGTACGACAGCGGCTATATATATATATATATATATATATTCAGTGGCACTGCCGAAGAAGATAAAATCATCAGCATTCACCCGAATCCCTCCGCAACAGTACGAAAACTTTCGAAGATGGATCCGAGGAAACGAATCCATTAAAACATGCTGGGATCCGCATACGTAACGTGCAGGTCAAATGTGCATTCATTTTTCTCACTGTTGTTAAAGCAGTCTGCTGCACAGCTGATCCCTAAGGATAGTTCAGCACCGATGTCTTTAATTTATCGCGCCATACTTCTGATACAAGCAAGTTTATTAAAAAACGAACGGAAATTCGTTTATTGTCGATGGGAACATGATCACTATTCAAGTTATATTATTGCTGTATGCTACACTATTGAATACTAGATATAGATATCATTCAGGAAAGAAGCATTCTAATGAAAGCAACTATCAAATACTTATCTGAAATGAGTAAAATGAGCTCTCCGTTGTGTCTTATGTAAATGTACTCTTCAGTTATTCAAATCTAAAGAATTAACAAAAGTCTGATAATTGCTGACAGCACCGTTAGAGTAAAAATCTGAGTGAGAAGGCAAAGAAAAGACTGCATCTGGTGTGGTGGATAGCACATGAGTCCTCTTAAAGGGTAATCACGGGTTCGAAGCCCACGTAACGTTCTGAGTTTTGCATATATTTCAGAATCCTTGTGTTTAGAAATATCCAAGTTTAATAGTGATTTTTCATTATTTCTGAGTAAGGAATAATTATCGCTTTAGAACCTTCGTTGTACCATTACGTTTATTAATAGGTGTTCAAGTGTCATCGTGTTGATCGATCAGATGTGTGCAATGTTCAAACAAAGGTCTTGTCAACTGTTTACAATCATATCCTTTTTTTTTTCTTTTAGCAAGATATCACCAATAAGAAGTACAGGGACTAAAAATTATATCGTCATGGATTTTCACGACATCAGAACGGTAAGCAGTCTTCACCGCTGACATTGTTGTATTTAACAGTGCTTGTGACTGGAGACGGTTTCAGTTTTTTTATGGTTCGCTGCTGTCTGATCGTAAAAAGCCGTTGAACTCTTCCAGTTTTCTTGGATTTTCTTAGGACAAGTAGCTTTAAATAAGTTAGGAAGTAGTAAACCGTTGAAGTAATGACTGCACTTGTTTAAATTACCACTTAGGAATGGTAGTAGACTATAGACTAAACGTAGAATTCGGTGCCATCATTAGAGCCATGTAGTCCTGGAAAAGAATCACAGCCTCAAGAGAGAAAAGAGTACAAGACAGTACTGTGTTGAGTACGTTGGAGTAGTCTTATACGGCAATCTTTTGACAGAAAGAGCTACATTTAACCACTATTCAGCTTGTCAATAAGGAGAAAAGCCGATGGCACATAAACCTCCTCGATAATAATGTTTGAAGGGCAGTAAAACGATTTGAAAAGCCGCCGAGATCAAGATATATGCAGTCGTGTAACCTAAGCATTTACCTATAATATGCAGAAGCCAAGGAGGAGGTAAAAGCACTTTGACACAAAATATAGGTTCTTGTAGGAGTTTTCTCTTTAATGGAAAGCTGTTTCCATTTTTCATTCCAGTAGTCATCAGCACTCCCGCTGTTTCTCTCCAAAACGAGATTCTGCAGAGATTCCACGACTGATTAACTTGAATGACGGAATAAAATGAAGTGTTTTTCTCACATACGCATTGCTGTGCGTCTTCCTATTAACTCTTGGAAAAGTTCCCCAGTTAGGATCCTGCACTATGAAAGACAACAAATAAAGGATAAAAAGGATAAATCTCTTAGCGTTGATCAATCCCTGAGAGATGCGTCGTGCATCTGTACGACTTCATCGAGCATCGTTAGAGATAATTGAATGCATATCTGGCGTATGCAATGACTCGCAGTGGCCTATCGATGTGTCGAGTCAGTGCTATTATCCTCTTAGACGGCTGTGGTACCAATTTTCCGACTCCGGAGGGATGGAAAGCTTGGTGAGCTGGGATCTATTTCAAGTGCATTGCTAGGCACGTCTAACCACTACTGTACGCGCACTCCAAGAACGGAAGCGTTAAATCTGGATAGAATCATTACCCTTGCACAATAATGTTCCTTCACATCATTTTCGTCAAGATACCTGTAGATCTCAATGAATACGTTAGACTGAGAACTACCTAGAGATTGTCGCCTTATTTTCAACTTATTATCAGTTCCGCTGACGGGTGATTGCTGCGGCAAAGATCGATGGAACTAGTTGAGAGACAAGCGAAACGAAGGACCCGCATGGTGTGGTGGTGAACGCGTTACAACCCGCAAAGGACAATAGCGCGTTCGTTCCCCACCGCATACTGCGGTCCGGAGTTTTGCAAATATCTCAGTATCATTGAAGTTATATTGTCGCCCTACTTTCCACAAAGTTACAATGTCAGGTCTATATGTGAAATACACATTGTGATAACTTTGCGAGAGCTCAAACTTTGTACCAAGTATTTTAAGGAATGTTTAGGAATTTGTTGCGTTATTATTGCAGATCCACAATTCTGACGCGCGGTTATCGATCTTCAATGCCATCTCGGCGTGCCTAGTTGGTCTGCTAGTAACAGTTCTGATTATCATTCTTGTGGTTGCGTATATCAGAGCGAAGTCGAGAACAGCCGTGAAGGTATAACTTATCAAAGAACTGTTCAACAATGCTGTAAATTCTAATCACTTCAAGAATATTTTGGCCTTAAAATTCTTTTTTATTACAATGAACGACTTTTCTAGCGAGATAATGGTTAACTGAAAACACTTAAGTGAACCCGAGAATAGCCCGAGTTACATTTTTCTCCGCCATACGAAACCATTCCAGCAAGCTTGATACCATGAGAAGTAGACAGAGCAAGTCAGAATTTTATAGGTTCCTATTTAGTAAGCTAGAAATTTTAGCTCGTCATTCAATTTTAACACAACGATCCGTGTGGCGATAGAGTTTGTATTAAACGAGCAATGTGATATTCAGATGCCGATGAGCACCAGTGTCACCGTCGAAACCTGTCTCGACTCGATATCGCTCAACAACAATGACCACTACAGTAGCAATCCTTTTACTAACACAATATCGGCTTTCTTGAATTGTCGTAATCGTCAATCTCACTACGATTTCATAGTTCATCTCTGACAAATTCACTCCAATTCTTCTAAAGTTCTCAGAGAGAGTGGTCTTCACGAGTACAGTAGGACTTTATAAAAACATAGCATGATTTGATATGTCTGGACGAATATTGTGCAGAATCTTCGATAATCTGGAAAAATAGAGTCGCCTTAAGCACCTTAACTGTCTGCCATATTTCCATATATTACTACCTGAAATGTAACATAAGTCCCATGCCACATTTGACAGAATTTGTGCTTTTATTCCCTGCTCTTCCTTGTGGCATGCGCGGGTTTCTAGTTATGGGTGCTAGCTCTTTGTTTATAGAACTGTGTTCTTTATAAAGTATAAACGTTTTCAACACTTTCCAGAGTGCTCGGTTTTGTGAGGCGTTGATTAAAAGACATTGTTGATAATACAGTTCATCTAGCTAATCTCATCAGTTAATATTAGTAAAGGATAAAGAATAAAACTCTCTGCGTTGATCAATTTCTGAGGGTTGCTCCATGCATTCGACTTCATTAAGCATTGTTTAGAGGTGATTGAATGCATATCTGGCCTTTACAATGACTCGCGGTGGCCTACCGATGTATCTAGCAGGTACTGCTACCCTCCCAGACAGGTCTGGTACCAATTTACCGACCCCGGAGGGATGGAAGGTTTGGTGCCATAGGCGCGTGGATAGATTCCACATATGTGTTGCAGAGCGCCTCCAACCACTGCGCCACATCCGCTCTTTAAAAACAATATTGGTATTGGTAAAATGTACAAATTAATGGCAGAGTATTTCAGCTTGCTACGTCAACAGCACTTTGAAACATCGAAATGATGCGATTAGCAAGAGGAATTTCGAGCGATTTTCTATTAGTTTGCATTTTCGTGCTAGTTTTACTATGAACTTGACATCTTCAGTTTTGGTATTGTCACACTTGTGACTTCACTAGTGCAAATATACCTGATTGATTTATTCTATAAGAGAAAATCGATAAATGGTAATATGCTGATAAAGCTGGTCAGGTCGTAGTGATATTGGTGGGAAGTGTTCCTGAAAGTCATGGAGTCGTCCTCAACGAAAATAATGCAAAACAGGACTAGCCCGTTCCTTTCGCACAATTATTTTCTTCAGTTCTCTTTATTCAGTCTTGTTACTTTTTCTTCTCTTTTGTTATTCTCATCTTCCCTCCTCACCTGATTGCACGCATCTTCGAAAGCCTGGCACCCAAGGACGAACGCCGAATTGGATCTGTACTGCTTTCCTTGTTTTCCGATTATACCACTCAGCTCTAAGCCGGTGCTGAGTCTCACGCAACTAAAAGTCTTGTCTAAAATTCGATATTTAGATAATTAGCTCTCTTAGTTCTCAGTGGGCTTTGTATTGCCTGTTTGCTATCAGTTTACTCAGGTGTACTTGAAAGAACACCGAAATCAATGACAAGGAATACAAGTGGCTACAATTTAACAAATATCACTGCATTTTTGGATTAACACAAAACTTTTACGGGACAAAAAAGGTTGGTGTTCACGAAACTAGTCAAAACTAGACACATTCTCAGCAACATTTGTGTTCTCAGGATCGACATTCTATTAGCCTCGGCACTGGAATATGAATGTGTCGTTTTCTTGTTCAGCAATCGCGAGGCTGTTAAACAGCATACATTTACTTCCATAGAAAAACACAATACAATACAACGCTAGCTGATGTTCCGGCAGCATCGCCTTCTTCAGAGCCTGGAAGGGTGTACTGATATACAATCTACTAGGCCAAACGCTTCAATAACACTTATAAAAAGACTAAAAGAAAGACTCTTTGGTAATTACATGATCAACAGCTTCTCGAAAAACCCACCGCTTTTTCGTGACTTCCAATGAGGAAATTTAGAACAGCTGATTATAGTCGCATGTGGTTGACGACTGCACCATCCCACATCAAAAATCGTTGCGAACGTACGGGATCAGGTCGCGTATGATCTCCGGGCATTTATCCCTGCTATTCATTGTAGGGTTTTTGGCATTGATCCAAAAAGCCTCAAGGAGTTTTCGCGCTGGTGTTTTGGACTCCTGTGCAAGGATATTGACTTTTACTTCAAAATCGTCTCCGCTATGCTTTTGTATCCTATGCGTGCATAGTAGGGTGCTTCGTCTTAGTTTTCGTTTGCCATCTAGGTGTTCTTTTATACGGATACACAAAGGTATGCCCGTTTCGCCAATATATTCATCTCCGCAATTATTACAAGAGATCAGGTATATCGTACCTGAACTCATGCAATCACCGTCCCTGCCGTAAGGGCAAATTACGCAATATGTTGTTTCACACAGACGGTTATACAGGCGGTTGCGAACTAATTGGCGGCGTAGAGTAGCCGGTGGTATTTCATAGTTGCTTTACGGCAGGGACGGTGATTGCATGAGTTCAAGTACGATATAGCCGATCCCTTCTTATAATTCCGAAGATGAATATATTGGCGAATTGGCAGACCTTTTTGTATCCCTATAAAAGAACACCTAGATGGCAAACGAAAACTAAGACGAAGCACCCCACTATGCACGCATAGGATACAAAAGCATAGCGGAGACGATTTTGAAGTAAAAGTCAATATCCTTGCACAGGAGTCCAAAACACCAGCGCGAAAACTCCTTGAGGCTTTTTGGATCAATGCCAAAAACCCTTCAATGAATAGGAGGGATGAATGCCCAGAGTTCATACGCGGCCTGACCCCGTATGTTCGCATCAATTTCTGATATGGGGTGGTGCAGTCATCAACCATATGCGACTATAATCAGCTGTTCCAAACTTTCTCATTGGAAGTCAAGTAAAAAACGGTAAGTTTTTCGAGAAGCTGTTGATCATGTAGTTACTATAGAGTTCTTCGTCTTTTTGTAAGTGTCATTGAAGCGTTTGGCCTAGTAGATTGTATATCAGTACTCCCTTCCAGGCTCTGAAGAAGGCGATGCTGCTGGAACGCTAGCTACGGTTGTGTTGTATGTGTGCTATTGTGTGGAAGTAAACGTATGCTGCTTAACAAACTCGCGATTGTTCAGAGAAAAAAACGACGAATTTGTGTTTTACTCACAAATCTGATGAGGCAGCCATGGTTGGCACTTTATTTATAAAATATATTTTTATAAAGAACTAAAGAAAAAGGTTTTCTTTCAGACTTCATTTATTCTCTAGAATTTTTACATGTAAAAGAATAAAAAAGGAGTCTTTAACTGCAATTCTTCAGCACAAAATGCCACGTCTCGACAGGTCATGAAAAGATAAATAACGATTCCACAACTTGACAAGTATCGAAGACGGAAAATAGGCTTACCTCTGTGTCGAGCTCACATTAAGATCTATGCCGGATTTGTTCGACGAAATCCTAAAACTAAAGATATTAAGCTAACAGAGAAACAACTTTTTTTTGTTGAGAATTCCCCTTCCGCAGCTGTGCTTTCTACAGCTCGTATGCCCGAAAATTCACCCTTTTTCAGATTTGAAAGAAAAACTTGTGAAACAAAAGCAATCTGGTGTACTTATCCGCTTTGTACAACAGTTTTCACCCGCCTTGAATAGAAACTCACCAGAAGTTGGTAACTTGACAAAAGCATCTTGTAGATTAGGTGAAATGTTCTTTGAATACTCTTAAGGACTCGACTGTATGTTACTTTTTCATCATCTATCCTGTTTTTAATGGCAGGCTATTAAATAAAATACAACTACAACGATGCTAATATATGAGAAAAACTCGGAGGAAGGCTGAGAGAAAGGCAAAGCAAGGGCCTCGGTCGGCGTCGTGGGTAGCGCGTAGGTCCCCGGATAGGGTGATCGCAAGTTCGAAGCACAGCTGAGGTTCCGAGTTTTGCTCATATCTCAGTATAACTGTGATTGTATTTCATATAATGCCCTGCTAAGAAAAAGAAAAGGCAGTAAGTAAAATTGAACATTCTGATTCCTAGTGTAATTTCCAAACAGCAAAATCGAAATCTTCTCTTTACGTTGTGCCTTAAGATATCTATTACCAATTCTTAGTAGATCGCCTGAATGGGTTGCTTTCCCTCATTCTTACTCCCTCACTGGAAGTTTTTATAACTCTTAGTGGGAAACAGTTGTTAAGTCATTAACCACTCTTTGCGTAACCGGTCCTACTCAGCGATTAAAGTCGCTATTTTATAAGGATAACATAGTTCTGGTTAATGTAATTTGGAAGTTATGTACTCATCGTCCTACAGAATATCCTATAACTTCTCTACACTTTTGATTCGATTTGTATCAACGTTTTGATTACGTAAATGATATATTTAAATGGCCAATTTTGGTGTCCATGAATGCAGGGATCATATAAGGCCAGAGTGCTAGTATATAAGGAGGCGTTCCTCCTCCTGAGTTCTCTGTCACCACGCAGCCATTTAAAAGAATTATTACGTAGCGTTACAATGAGAGTTAGTGTTTTTCTCAACGAAGCTTGTTTTTCTTAGTGCGCACTCTATGAAAATCCTTTAAAAGTTTAGACTTAACCCTCTCATAAGCCTTCAGCATAGATCGCAAATACTACGAAATGCGAACGGAGGTGAACGAATGCCTTTTAAAAGCGTTCAGAAAACGCGCCGATCTAGCTTGAATGTCATAGGACCCTGTTGATAAAGTTCGTGATTTGCCGCTATTGTAGGCACTGAAGCCTTTTTGAGCCTTATTGGACCTAGAGATATTCAAACAACAATTTAAGAAAAAAGCTCTAAAATCGAAGAAGACTCTCGAAAATTCCATCTACGAATAGTGTGCACCAGTGCCATGTGTGGATTATCTTTTTTTGACAACTAGAAATAGGACTACGCTTGGTGCGTGACAAGATAATGAAGCTGGCCGCTTTTTTGATGAAGTGGTTCAGTTATTCTCCTTTGATGATTGCTTTAATTTACGCTCAGTCGATAAATAGAGACCATAGTCAATCACGAAAGCGTCGTCTAAAAGTGGAGTTAGTTAACTATGCACATTAATTTAATATTGCAGGAACTAAGTTGCTATAAGGATATGTCCACTATGAAGGCGGTAGATAACCAAAACAGTAGTGCTTCGATGTCCCTGTTCAGAAACTGCAAAACAGAAGCACTTTTTGTTAAGGTATTCGTTCAAAACGTGCTCTTCTTTTCACAAAACATTTCACATCGCTGGAAAAAATCATTTAGCGATAGATGAAAAGCAATGTGGCTTCGCAAATGGAGAATTGAAGCGTGAGAGAAGCCATTAGTCTACCTTATCATATGTTTGAACTTCTTGCTCGACTTCGCCTGGGTAGGGTCGAAGCAGTAGATTCGACTGGTGCCGCCAACCTTCCGTTGCATCAAAGGCTGCGGTGTTTGTCGCGTAGATGGCAAATCGACAATTTTACCTAACATAGCGAAGAAAAAAAATGAAACTGATGCGGTTGTATATGTTGAAATGTTTTTCAAAATCCACAAAGCTCGATTATCTTTCAAAGAAAAAGTTGATACACGACTGGCAAAGATATATTGCAAAAAGTAACGAAAAGCATTTTTAACTGAAACTCCACTGATAGTTACCAATTTCTCAACAAAAGTGGTAGCTTTTTATATCTTCCAATGGTTTACCGCCTCAGCGTGGTTGGGAGGTGTTCCTCGGTGTCGGGCTGCGATGCACAGCGGGAAGATTCACCTATCGGCAGGGTCTCCCAAGCTGAGAGGGAGTTCAGGGTTTCTATCAGGGAGCCCAGCTGAGAGTAAACCAATACCAGGATCCACCACCATTCAAATATGGAACTAGCCGCATGGTGGCAAATCTCCTTCCGTTCCACAAGGGCGGTGAATGCCTGTACTGATGACGACCTGTGGCAAACTTTGGTTAGGCTAACCTCAGGACTCCAGGGAATCACAATGGCTGAACCAGCAAACCTCTGAAAAGTGGAGATTGTGCTAAGGCCCGCACAACCAGTGAGGAGGGGCCATTTAAGTATCAAGTAAGAAGTGATGGCTTTTTATAAGAAATATAATGCTTTGGAATGCCAGAAGTTTGAGATCCCGAATTAACTTTTATTGTTAAACATGCAGCGGCCGCGTGCAGCGCAGTGGCTTGAGGTACTCTTCAGATACACATATGAAATATTATTACACATGTGATTGTTGGTTCGATTTCGTGACTAGAGCTCACCTATGCTAAGCTGATTGGCGAATGACTTCTCTGAGACTACAGAACACTTAAATTCATGCATTGGTAGGCTTTTGCAACCACTGAATAAACTAAATATGCATTCATCAACTTCGAATCACTTATTAGTAAAGTCGAATTCGTAGAAAAAAAGGCGAAGCTCTCAGCGTTCATCAATCCCTGAGGGATGAGTCATGCATTCGACTTCTTCAAGGATCGTTTGGAGGTGATTGAATGCATATCTGGCCTTTACAATGACTCGAGGTGGCCTACCGATGTGTCGAGCCAATGCTGCTATCCTCCCAGACAAGTCTGGTACCAATCCGATGCCGGAGCAATGGAAGGCTTGGTGAGCCTTGGCAGCGGGGATCGATTCCGTGTGTATTGCAGGACGCCTCTGACCAATGCGCCACACGTGCCATGATTCGAATTCGTAGTTGAAATAAATGTTGTAGTTATGTCCAATCGAAAATAAGTCAAGAATGATTCAACAAAATTGTTTTAACGATTCCTGTAAGGTGAGAGAGTACCATAGTTATAGCGATCCCGTTTATTAGTGTGGAGGACCCAGTTTACCCGTGCGTTGCTTCCACCGCGCTCCAGGTCCACCAATCCACTCATCCCAATGTGGTTGAGAGATTGCAACTAGCCTCGTCTGATACAAGCTGACTTCCTCTTATCTACCTGGGAGCACCCTAACAGGGCTATCTCGTAATTCCAGCTAGAATTGATTCGATCAGCATTCAACGACATTCGTGATGAAGAAAAATTCTAAGCAGAAGCCGAAATCAAAAAAAAAGTCCAAAGACTTTCACGGTTGGTGAGTAACAGAAAACGAATCTAATGTTGGTAGTACTGTAATCTATACACTATTATACCTATGATGTTAGGTCGTGTAATAAGGAAAATATAAAATTCCACTAATGTGGAAAATATGGGAGGTTTTCCAGAAGTCAATATTTCATGTATTTCGTGTGGGTTTCATGCAGCCCGATATTTGCCTGAAGGACTGACCGTCCACTTTGAACGGCGTGCTAAGTATAGTAGGAATCCTATATAATGCTGAGATATTTGCAAAACTCCGGACCGCAGGTGTATGCGGTGGGGAACGAACACGCTGGCTTTTTTGGGTGATTGTTGATGGCAAAAGAGATCGATAGAACAAGCTGAGAGGCAGGCAAAACGAAGGACTCGGATGGTGTGGTGGTGAAGTGCGCTGCTCCCCGGTATGGACAACAGCGCGTGTTCGTTCCCATCGCATACACCTGCGGTCCGGAGTTTTGCAAATATCTCAGCATTATATACGAGTTATATTTCGCAGCATACCCTGCCATTAAAAAGAAAAAGGCAGTAAATAAAAGGGTTACGATTATAATAGGAATATTAAGCACTGCTTTTAACTGGCCATCAATCAATGAACTCATGAAAAGAAACCTGTCACATTATCATCGTCATCCGTCTCTAAAAAGGAGGTGGGTGTCAGTTGTAGCTGATGGTTGTCGAGTGTGGAGCCCTGAAGTTCTAAAATTTCCAATATGCCAAGAACATTGCTTTCCAAAAATACAGCGAATATCCGCATGAGTGACACTTTAAATTCACCTCAATTTCGACCTTTTTATAGCCGCACACTTCATTATTTCAAGCACTCGAAATGCTTTACATTTCAATCAATAGGTCAAAATGTCAAAAATTACAGTAATTCCGTTCCAAAACTGGTAGTTGGTTCACTGGTAGAGTTCACAGGTTGACGTAATGTTGTTCAAAGACGTTGCAAAATTTCGATAGTACTGAGATGGACTATTACATTGAAGAGAAGACGGTTGAAAAGTTATAATGTTGTTGTGACCTCTTTGAATAAACTTCTGCAAAATCCTCGACTGATTCTAACATAAGGAGTGCGGCAGATGTTAAGTGTTGCAAAGTTTAAGATAGAAAATGTTATGGAACCGGTGTCTTTGGCACTTCATAGTAATGTCAAAGCGTTACTATATCCTCTCTGTATAAGTAGTCACTTAAACTGTAAACTTATCAAGTAGAGGATGTTGAGAAAGCACGGTGCCTAACGGAGGTTCTATGCTGGTTTTTGGTTCGTTTTTCTTATTGTTCCTCAGAAGCTAATTTTACCTGCCTTATAATGAAGAGCACTGTGAAACTTTCATTTTGTTTACATGACCCATCATCACATCTAGCGTTCGGATCCCAGCACTTCCTGCATTCAATTCGTTTTCCTTGCATTCATCGCCCACAAAGGTCTACGAACACTTGGTCTGTTGTTTAGGCCACTGCTTGAGGATTTCTTCTTCGTACATGCCTTGGAATGCTGGTTGAGTCTACTCCCTTTGCAATAATGGAGGTAGGTGATCTAAGGCGTTCCCAACAGTGAACCTTCATTTAACCTTGTAGAAATGTGCACTACTAACTTCACCATCCAGATTGAGGAATAGGTTGCTGGACAGATTCATCAACGTTGATTTATCGGTACTGGCTGAGTACTGAACCAATATCTCATTGTGATTCGTCAGCACATAGGAGACCTGCACAGTAACGTTGCCTGGATAACCCTCTTCTCCTAAATAATTGATGCAGACTTTCACAATGTACTATGGCCATTAATATATACAATGCTAAGTGCTTATCTACGAAATACAAAATGGGTTACAAACCATCATGTGATTTTACGCTAAAAATCACACCGCTGCCGTCATCAAGCAAGGTGTAGTCCCAGACTTTCTGCAAAAATAAGACACGTGGTTCAACCCATACATATGCACATACAAGGACAAACACACAAAACACACAAACACATAAACACACACATACACACACATACACACTCACACACACAACACACACACACACACACACACACACACACACACACACACACACACACACACACACACACACACACGCAAAACACAAGCGCAAACACAAACAAGCACAATTACGAGGTAAAATTTATAGCGCAGATTTTGCTTTGACTTTGCTTAGTGGGTTCTTTGCTCCGCCATTTCTGTGATGAGGATGGTCGTTCGGCGCTAGGAAATACTCTTTGCTCTCGATGGCGCAACGAGCATCGCGTATTCTTCCAGCTACTCTTCCAAGTGTAGATCCAACAGACAACTGGTCGTTTTCGTAAGCTGAAAACGGCTTCCAAATGTGACAACACCAAAGAGGCTGCTGTGGTTACATATAAATTGACTGCGTTGGAAATGTGGTTGTATATTGATGCAACAGATTACTGCTCCAAGCACCTGAAGAGATCAGTGTTTCCATTCTATTAGTGAATTTTTAATAGGATCAAAAACGCAGTTGTTTTAGCACAGACTGGACATTGAACGGCATATGTGGAAGTAGTTGTTTAGCCTACTTCACTAGATCTCCATAAGAATTAGCTAGTATGCCATGTTCTGTCGCAAACATCACCAAGTTTTTCTCATTTACGCCTCCAATACAGCGTATACCGCTAATTCCCATGACTGACTGTCTATTAATGTCGGCATTGACCGAACAATTCTTTGTATCCTTTTTTAGCAAACGGGAAGTGTTACTTATTACTTTATTTACGAACCAGCTGACGTTTCGGAGGATTTCGCCTTCCTCAGAGCCTGCAGGGTCAAGTTGACTGCAATCTATACGGGCAAACACCTCCATAACCAAACAGAGAAAATGCTAAACGAAAATTTCAATCACATTGAACACAGCTCTGCACACTCACCGCTAAACAAAGATTTCAAGACTTTTTTTTCCAGGCTCTGAGGAAGACAAAATCCGCCGATACGTCAGCTTGTGCGTAAATAAAGTAAATAATGAAATAAAAGTATACTAGTAAATTTGGCCTGCTTTTCCTTTTTCGAAATGCTGAGCTGCTTTGTCCTTAAAATAGGACTTGCTTATGGAAATAAGACGACAATGAACTGACATAATTTCTCGCTTGTCCTATTTTCCACAACCGTTTCAAATGGCTTGCTACCTTTCAAGTACGAAAATTTTCGAAGCCTCATCCTTCATAGTTTTTGGTTGATTTTAACAAATTGAAGTAGCAAAGTGCAAGTAGTGGTAGTATCACAGATGTGAAAAGTTCTGCTATTTGGTAACTCGAGAAGAGAATAACTTGTAAGTGTAAAATTTCAGATTGAACACGCTGGTGAACCACATGTAGTCTGGAGAGCAGTTTTTGCACATTGGTTTCCGACTGTGGACAAAAGCTCTTTTCATCACGTTAAAATTCCCTATCATTTTACCAAATCAACGTTGTAAAGAGATCGTCTACCTTTAACAGCGTCGAAGCCAAGTGCGACGTCCGTCATCACACCTTCTCTGTCCGGAACGACAATCGACCTAACCGTCGCGCCCAGGTTCAGCATCTCGAGACGCATTGCATTACCTAGATAGCCGATATTAGGATTCCGTATCACACAAACTGGGAGAATTTTCGAAAGTGAAAAAGGATTCATAAGGCTTTTGGAAGGTTACCACTGACACAAGCTCAAAACGGTTTTATTTTTTGTTAAATTTCGGTGAGTTCAAAAGCAGGAATTGGTCGCTTTTTCAGGTGATTACACGACTTGTTTAGTGCATGTAGACTAACAATGTGCAAAGAAAATGGGCCACACTCGACTAAGCCGAAAACAAGTTCAACGTTAACAAGGGACAGAAGACGGCGAAATCAAAACGAATTTACCAAAATTGGCATTCTCTAGTATATCTAGCTGTAGGGTAATAAGGCACAGTCGTCTACTTGAGGAGAGCGTTGTAAACTGTTTCACTTCACCACCTGTCTTCATGATCATAACCAAATGATTCGAATATGGATAAATAAAGTGCTCAACTATGACTGTACAGCGCGAGGTCTACCCAGAGGTCGCAGGCGCAAAAGAAGGACAATATCAGGTTTATTATTTGCTCAAGATCTTCGTGAAGGAGTCTAACATTTGATGTAACTACAATGACAGAGATATTTGCGAAATTCCGAGCCAGAGGTGTCTGTGGTGGAAGTCGAACCCGGTGTTACTCTATCGGGGGCTAACGCATTCACCACCCCATCATGCGGGTCTTTCGTTTCGCCTTTCTCTCAGCCGTGTTCGCTCGTTTCTTCGCCAATAAAAAAGAATGGGCAGTAAAAAAAGTGACTACACTGTAATTTATACTACAACTTCAGCTTAACTAGAACCAATGCCGATTTGTGCTCTCTAGATCAATCCCGTTGATGTGATTACTGATAACGCCTATATAACACGGGTCCGGTTCCCACCACAGAGACCTGTGGTTCAGAGTTTTCCGAATATCGCAACATCATTGAAGTTATACACAATTCAGTGCACTGTAACGAAAGCTGTCACCTTGTTTCTCGACCTTTCATAGTTGTGGAAAGTCAGATAATAAAAAGCTGGCTATGTGCGATTCAATAACAATCTGTTTTCGGATAAGTTTTAGTACATTGTTTTAGGCGCGAACTTTTGAAAACAAGAAGAACTTCACGCTATTGTGGCACACAGCCAAATGTTGCGCTGTCACATGAAATATTACACCGATTACACATGAAATATATAGATGACTAAATGTTGCTACAGTATCTTCGTCGAGATTTTTCAGACGTAGTTGAGAAAAGGGTAAAACACGTCAAATAGAAAAGGTTTACCGTTGGTCATTCGAATCAGCACAACTCTCCGTTCATCTCGTGTTTCCCCAAATGATTCTATAGTCACTGATCTCATCCCTGGAAGAATTTGTTTCTGCCTACTCCAATAAGCAGACTTAGGTAATAGTTCATGAAATTGTCGAGAGAACTAAACAAGGAAATTGGGAAAGAAAGGAGGAGTGAAACGCAGAGCTCGATTACGAATAAAAAACACAGAAGCAAATGTTCCAATTCATTCATTATAAAGATTTGTTTTTTCAGACAGTGTTGAAAAAAACTTCGGTAAAACAGTAGAGCGGGTTAAAAATTAGGAAAGACAACATGAAATCATATAGATTTTTCTTTAAACGCTCTGTAAAGAGACAATTTTCATCGTGCCATAAAACAAAAGAACAGTGCCATAACAAAGCGTTCGGAGATGCCTTGTAATAAAAGCAGGAGTCGTCGGTTGTTCGGTACCACGTCAAGGACAGACCAAATCGTTCTTGCCTCCGCTTTTAGCAAACTGGCACCAAATTTGTCTGTGAGAATAACGGCACTGTCGGTAGGCCACAGCACAACTCTTTGCATTGGCCAGATATGCTCTCAAACTAGCTCCATCGACCCTTAATGAAGTCGCATGCATGGCGCATCCCACAGGGATTGATCAACTCAGGAAACTTTGTTCCTTGCCGACATCAACAGAAAAACCCATATTACAGTAAAACTTATGGAACACTTCAAAATGCACAATTTTACACTGTAGCACTAATTTGCAACGCAAATGCAACGAATACGAGACCAGGGTTAGAAGAATTGAAGACACGTGCTTTGTATACACATGGAAACAACAGAGCGCATGAGTGAAATGTAGAGCGCTTGGGTATGAGAAAACTCGCAGAAGCGTCCGTCAAATATGCAAAAGTGTGAATAGATTCAGTGTCATATATGAATTTCGGCCAGAAAACACCAAGTGCAATAATCAGAAAGTCTTATTTTGATTCTGACATTCAAGCATATAAAATGTTCACTTTCGCTTCGTTGCTTACCTAACCGATGAACGCTAAGGCCATCGTTGCTACTAGCTGCATATTCACTGCATGCAATGAAAAGTTGGAAGGATATCTAATGGAAAGTCTGCTTCAGCAAAAAGCAAGACGTAATCAGAGATTTTTTCATTCCTCATTAAAACCGCTATTCTAGAAAAGGATGTCATCAGGACCATCGAGCTTCGGTTCCAAGTTGTTCATGGGGAAGCCGGGCTGCCTAATGATGGAGTAATCTACTGCAGTAATGTGTTACCTGCTTCAGTAGCCATTTATTTTTTCTCACATCCTAATTAGTGTGAGGTTCACCTTGACTATGGTCCTAAAAGACTTCCGTTTAGAGCATAATTTAAAATTACATATTCTTTGCAGAATCTGAAATCTATTTGTAGGATTCCTCACACGTTGATCGGATTCTAGTGCTTATTTCACTCAATTCCTTATTTTTCACAAGTTACTTCCTAGGGTCTTCGAAACCGCATTAGCTTTCGGCTGCTGTATGAAGATTTTTTATCCTTTATGAAAACCATTTAACGTCTGTGATATTGATCTTCATTGGAATCCAGTTATATCTTTGTCAGAGTGTTTTGTGAGGTTCACCTACAAACACCCACTTGCCTTTTTGGTTCGGAGAGATCAGTCTCCAGAAAGTCTGTTACCAATTTTTCACTCCTGGAGAGACGAACGATAGGTGGACTTGTGTAAGATCGAGCCTGTGGTCATGATTGTATGCGACGGATAACATCTCTCCCATTGCGCTCTCGGTGTCATGGAAAAGATGCCATAGGTACAGGCACATAATAAATCATCACGGAACGACATCCGAAAAAGAGGTGTCAGAAATCTGAATGACAAGAACTATTGAAAATTTTCTAAGTAGGATGAAAGACTGAATACAGATGGTTAAGAGAATACCATGTTTGTGTCGTTTTCTTGTTCAGCAATCGCGAGGTTTTTAAACGGCATACATTTACTTCCATAAAAAAAACACAATACAATACAACGCCTAGCTGACGTTTCGGCAGTATCGCCTTCTTCAGAGCCTGGAAGGGAAAGGAAATACCATGTTTGTTATTATTATTAATGCATGAAACGTCTTCACATCCACTGTGGGAATCCCAGCAATTCTTTCGCTCGATTCGTTTCGTCGCATCCGTCATCCACGATGCATATTTTATGAATTTCATAAAACACTCGTCGAATCTGCTGTCGTTGTAATCTTGGAGATAGCCGAAGTAAGGCGTTCCCACATTGGTTCGAGGACAGCGTTGGGGATGAGACCGAGCCAGTGCTTTGCTTCTTGATGGGCTGCATCACTAGTCGATCCGCTACACTTGTCAGCACAATGTCTTAAATGAACTATTTTCAGCTAAGACCTGTTGTTGTCGCAGACCACGCACATCCTTTTTCTGATCGCTCATGCTTATGAGGATGCAGTTGTAGTGCTTCGATGAATGCAAAGATATTCGATATGCCTGGGGTGTGGACCCGTTTTTAAGCCTCACGGTAGAATAATGAAAGAACAGCTTTTCCTCTCAGAGATATGGGTTCATGACTTTATTAGAAGTTTCTCTTGATAAACGAGTTCAGCTTATGATTTTTATAATCTATTCTTCCTACTCGCTTTGCTCGAATTGCACCATAGGTCCACAGAGATTGTATTTGATAAAAATAGCTACTCTAATATTGCTATTATGAAAAATACAAATGATTGAAAATTAAAATCCAACTTCGTGATTTTTGAACCCACGCGTATTTAGCACTTGACTTTTGGAGTCGCTTGGCTAGCAAATCCTAGACTTCGGTTGACTCTTTGATTTTCGAGTCATCTCATAAAATAAGCCGATTGAATCCAGTGTAACATAATGGCACTGTAGAATTGTCAGAGAAATAAACATCTTCTATATATGCTGATTTTTAAAAGTACCGTTAGTTGAATTCACATCCATAGGTGGTTATTCTTTTCCTCTTGAAATAAAAATCTGTGGAGGAACCATGCTGTGAACAGGTATCCAGTAAAACATTTTCCAGTCATAATTTCGACGTGTGCGTCTATGGATCTGGAAGATGCATGGCATTGCGACCTCGTTTCTATCATGACGGCCACGCTTCTCGACGTTGTTCTTCTTTGGTTGAGTGGTTGGATAGTTCATGCTCAGCTTCATAAATGGTTCTAGCAGAACGAAACATGTACTAAACAACAATAAGGCTGCCAAAGTGCGGTGCGTGACTCTCGAATCGGAGAAATATTTGACTGGCCTCTCAATGACACTGGGTAATCTCTACTATGATTTTGAAACACAAAGAGAAAAAATCTTATGGAAACCATATTTTCTATACATTGATTGATTTGCAATAGCCATAAATGCTGATTCAAGTGATACGATGCTTGGCGTAGTAAACGTGAATTGAAGTCAAGCACATTGTACAAATAATGTGTTAAAAGACTAAAACGCTTCAAGCGACAACCGCTTGATAAAAAGCAGGCCGAAATAGCCACTCCCTCTAATGAAATGGCGTTAATGCAAGAGCGTTGCCTTGCCGAATCCAATCAGAAAAATGTGAAAAATTACCTTAGTCTGTCACAATACGCTAGAATGCTTAACCAATTCTGTTTCAATAATTCCGTTTCGGACCGAAATGGGTAAGCTCGTGGTACTAGAAGAGCAGATTACTAAACAGTGAAAAATGACTAAAAGATTGAAAGAGGGGA